GGCACCTGCAGGCAGCTCCGTACGCCCCCCGGGGCAGCCCCCAGCCCAAGTGTCCTGCTTGGAGCCCGCCCGGCCGTAAGGTGCGGGTACTGCTCCCTGACGCGAACCGCAGTGGCCCCAGGGCACCCCCCGTGCAGGACGCGCTGCTGCCAGGGCTGGCTCTAGGCTTTTGCCGCCCCAAGCAAAAAGGATGGCCGGAATGCTGCCCCTGAAAATGTGCCGACCCAAGCACGTGTTTGGTTTGCTGGTGCCTGGAGCCGGCCCTGGTTCCTTGAAATCCTGGTGAGTGATGGCTGCTCTGTATTTGGCCCCATAATTTTTTTAACTAGTAGGATTTACCATCCAGTTTCCAATGAACAAACAATTTTGTGTTTCCTGGGTTCTAAAGTAATCAGAAAGTAGACACTTTTAAAGGAACAATGTCACCTACTTTTCAGGGCCACGTGGCCAAACCATAAATATTACTCATGTGATGGGTCTAAACAATGGCATTGAGCAACAGCTCAAACAATAGTTTGCAGAGAAAGTGACCATAAGATGGTAGAGTTCAGGATCCTGTCAAAAGGAAGAAAGAAGAGTACCAAAATACAGACCCTGGACTTCAGAAAAGCATACTTTGATTCCCTTAGGGAACTGATGGGCAGGATCCCTTGGGAAGCTAATATGAGGGGGCAAGGAGTCCAGGAGAGCTGGCTGTATTTTAAAGAAGCCTTATTGATGGCACAGGGACAAACCATCCCGAAGTTCAGAAAGAATAGCAAATATGGCAGGCGACCAGCTTGGCTTAACAGTGAAATCTTCAGTGAGCTTAAACTCAAAAAGGAAGCTTACAAGAAGTGGAAATTTGGACAGATGACTAGGGAGGAGTATAAAAATATTACTAGAGCATGCAGGGGTGTAATCAGGAAGACCAAGGCACAATTGGAGTTGCAGAAGGCAAGGGATGTGAAGGGTAACAAGAAGGGTTTCTACAGGTATGTTAGCAACAAGAAGGTGGTCAGGGAAAGTGTGGGACCCTTACTGAATGGGGGAGGCAACATAGTGACAAATGTGGAAAAAGCTGAAGTACTCAATGCTTTTTTTGCCTCCGTCTTCACAGACAAGGTCAGCTCCCAGACTGCTGAACTGGGCAACACAGTATGGGGAAGAGGTGAGCAGCCCTCAGAAAGAACAGGTTAAAGACTATTTGGAAAAGCTGGATGTGCGCAAGTCCATGGGTCCAGATCTAATGCATCCAAGGGTGCTGAGGGAGTTGGCTGATGTGAATGTAGAGCCATTGGCCATTATCTTTGAAAACTCGTGGCGATCGGGGGAGGTCCCGGACGATTGGAAAAAGGCAAATATAGTGGCCATATTTTAAAAAGTGAAGAAAGAGAACCCAGGGAACTACAGACCGGTTGGCCTCACTTCAGTCCCCGGCAAAATAATAGAGCAGGTCCTCAAGGAATCCATTTTGAAGCACCTGGAGGAGAGGAAGGTGATCGGGAACAGTCAACATGCTTGACCAACCTGATTGCCTTCTATGAGATAACTGTCTCTGTGGATATGGGAAAAGCGGTGGATGTGATATATCTTGACTTTAGCAAAGCTTTTGATACAGTCTCCCACAGTATTCTTGCCAGCAAGTTAAAAAAGTATAGATTGGATGAATGGACTATAAGGTGGATAGAAAGCTGGCTAGACTGTCGGGCTCAACGGGTAGAGATCAACGGCTCTATGTCTAGTTGGCAAGTGGGTCAGTCCTGGGGCTGGTTTTGTTCAACATCTTTATTAATGATCTGGATGATGGGATGAATTGCACCCTCAGCAAGTTCGCAGATGACACTAAGCTGGGGGGAGAGGTAGATATGCTGGAGGGTAGGGATAGGGTCCAGAGTGACCTAGACAAATTGGAGGATTGGGCCAAAAGAAATCTGATGAGGTTCAACAAGGACAAGTGCAGAGTCCTACACTTAGAAAGGAAGAATCCCATGCACTGCTACAGGCTGGGGACCGACTGGCTAAGCAGCAGTTCTGCAGAAAAGGACCTGAGGATTACAGTGGACGAGAAGCTGGATATGAGTAAGCAGTGTGCCCTCGTTGCTAAGAAGGCCAACGGCATATTGGGCTTTATTAGTAGGAGCATTGCCAGCAGATCAAGGGAAGTGATTATTCCCCTCTATTAGACACTGCTGAGGCAACACCTGGAGTATTGCGTCCAGTTTTGGTCCCCCGACTACAGAAGGGATGTGGACAAATTGGACAGAGTCCAGCGGAGGGCAACCAAAATGATTAGAAAGCTGAGGGAACTGGTGTTATTTAGTCTGCAGAAGAGTGAGGGGGGATCTGATAGCAGCCTTTAATTACCTGAACGGGGGTTCCCACAAAGGATGGAGCTAGGCTGTTCTCAGTGGTGACAGATGACAGAACAAGAAGTAATGGTCTCAAGTTGCAGTGGGGGAGGTCTAGGTTGGATATTAGGAAATACTATTTTACTAGGAGGGCAGTGAAGCACTGGAATGGGTTACCTAGGGAGGTGGTGGAATCTCCATCCCTAGAGGTTTTTAAGGCCCGGCTTGACAAAGCCTTGGCTGGGATGATTTAGTTGGTGTTGGGGGATTGGACTAGATGACCTTCTGAGGTCTCTTCCAACCCTAATATTCTATGACAGAGGCAGACTATAGGAATAAAGCTCTCAGAAGTGGTACCCTCCTGTGGAAAAAGGTTTTGAAAATACCTGCTTATCTGAAGTATCTTTAGGCACAAGGGAGAAGAGACCTCTCTGGCAGTAATGGTTCAGCAATATCCAAAGAATGGGGTGAACTCTACCCGAGGTAGTGAAATCCCCTATCCCCCCATTACAGTCCAATACTGGGTATGATTCACTTATGGAGAGCACCTTCTTATTCTAGACTCTTCTTTTATGTTTCCTTCAGCTGAGTATTGTGTCCAATTCTGGGTGCCACGCTTTGGGAAAGAAGTGGACAAACTGGAGTGTGTCCAGAGAGCAGCACAAACAATAAAAGGTTTAGTAAATCTGGCCCATCAGAAAAAGTTTTTAGAGTGGCAGGAGGGCTAATAGTCTTCAAATATGTAAAGGGCTGTTATAAAGAGGACAGGGATCAATTGTTCTCCATGTCCACTGAAGGTAGGACAAGAAGTAACAGACTTAATCTGCAGCAATGGAGACTTAGGTCAGATACTGCAAAAACCTTTCCAACTCTCAGGGTAGTTAAGCTCCGGATCAGGCTTCCAAGGGAGGTTGTGGAATCCCCGTCACTGGAGGTTTTTAAGAACAGGTTTGACAAACACCTGTCAGGGATGGTCTAGGTATACGTGGTCCTGCCTCAGCACACGGGGTTAGACTTGATGACTTCTAAGTCCCTTTCAGCCCCACATTTCTATGATTACATCAGCCTCTGTCACCTTCAGCATTTTGTAGCAGCCTGGCAGAAATACCCAGACTGAAGAATCGGCGTTAAGAATCCTTCTGAAGTCCTGAATGTCATAGAGGAGGAAGGCTATATCCACACCTTTGAGACTGACTCAGGAAGTCACCCAGGAATCAGCACCAGTTGAACTGAAATCCTTTGCTCCAGAGCTTTTCTCTTATTCATACACATACGGATGACATTTCTGCTATGGAAAGGAAGGTGGGAGCAGTAGGAAACTGCCAGATTTGGGAGTTATATCTCCATGTGATTTGGAGGGTTCTGCATTAGGGTATGACGCTACATTCACCCAAATTAACGAGGACAGTGAAATTTTGTGCCACAGAGTAGACTACCTCAAAACCAAAGGAGAGGAGGAGATATTTTTGCTTGGATGGCATACTGGAGAACATGGCATCAGGAACTTTGCAACTTTGTTCTTGCTGGATGTTTCACAACTTTGCTTGAAGCAATGGGTCCACTGGATCCCATTATTTGGTGTCACCTAGAAGACTTCCTGATGGTAACTCTGCTGCCAAGACTTCTTCTAGGATTGGTTATGTGTGAAGTTTAGAACATAAGGATTTACATTCTGAGTGTGCTAAGGAGAATACAGAATCTGGAGAACATATTTTCTTATTATACAAGTGCATTATTCAAACAATGGAAAAGTTTAATGGTAAAATTCCAACTGCATTAGCTAGTGAGGTACGAGGCCAAACAAAAACAGAATACAGAATGGTATGTACACAATACAGAACAGAATACAGTGCCCTCTGAATTCCACTCCTCATCCTAGCTTTAGTAAATGATGGGCTCCAATACCACAACAGTGGATATGGTATAAAAATCAAAGTAGGGTGAATGTTGACGATGCCTTTACTTTAAAGAAGACTACCCTTCTCACGGATCTCTGAATGCCTCTGCCGCAGCATAGCAGGGAGCTGCCACATTCACTGTAAGCTATATTTTGTTATGGCTAATTCTGGGGAAGTCATGAGGCAAATTAAGTCACAAATGTGGGGGAAATAATGTAAGGCACAGATTTAAGCCTCCTTAGATTCAAAAGTCAAATTCATAGTCCCTCCCACCCTAGTCCAGACACTAGCCTCTAGCTCCTTCCCCAATCACCTACTTACAGTGGCAGCATGTAACAGTTATCACTTCCCATCACCACAGCAGCGTGTGGACTGGCAGTTCATCCAGCTGCTCGCGCACACACATCCTACTTAGCTCAGTCTTTTGTTTTATATTGAGAATTTTTTTAATCGCAGGTTTTTAAGCAATATTCCAACCAATGAGTGCTTATCTCAAAAAGAATCAGAAAAGATGGAAACTCTGGACAAGGGTAGGAGTGTTAACATAGTTCAGTGCCTGTAAAGGACTGTCACCCCCATTTCTCCCACTACAAAAACTGAAGGTCTATTCACGGGGTTGTTACTGACTTGAAGACTTTTCACTCCTGTTCACCAACATGATTACTTGATTCTGAGACACAAGACACAGCTGCTGGCTCAGCCTGAACACAGAAGCTTGCTGACGAAATGCCCAATACAAATAAACACTCATACAACCAGGAAATATCATGTGTTAAGATTTAATAATAATAATAATAATCATAATATTTCAAAAACAATGAGAGAGAGAGTGCATTATACACAAGATCTGGTACTCAGTGCTTTTTATTGGCCGTTTTCTCTGTGCCAGTGTATTTGGGTCGTGGTAAGTGGATAAAAAACCCAGCTGGGACATTTCTCCAAGGAGGGAAGGAGAGAGGTTAGGCAGGAGGTTCAGAATCGGACAAACGTGGCATCAATCTGCCGGACAGAAGGAAGAGCCAGCATGATTTTGCGCCGGTACTGAGGATCCTTCTGCAGGGGGTTTCTCTCCAGATATACAGTTTCCAAATTCTTGGCTCCCTTCAGCTCATCCAGGTCACTCCAACTCTCAATGAGATTATCATTCATCTGTGAAGCACACACACGAACACTCCCAGCAAAGCTTCATTAGTGAGAACATAACCCAGACAGACACTGCTCATGAGGAGTCACCCGTTACCGAGAACCAGGGGGCAGTTAGGCTGTGCGGTTACCAGCCTGGTAGAATCTGCTTGGTCCTGCTTTGAGCAGGGGATTGGACTAGATGACCTCCTGAGGTCTCTTCCAACCCTAATATTCTATAATTCTATTAATCTAGCTAGAAAGAATGACACCATATGAGCTTCCTCAATCTGAAGCCTTGCTGAGCCTTCTCTGTTCCCTACTCCAAGCACAGTTATTCTTCAGCAATATCTACCACAACACCCGCCCCCTGGTAATGTGTAACCAGAATTCAACTCAACAGGTTTTAACGTACCATGGAAATGCCACCTATTGGCTCTCTCTTGTCTACAGAGCATCACAGGAATGTCTTACTCACTGCAAACCCCACTCCCTCGTGACTTGTCCTTCAGCACATTGCTGCAGTTTTGGCCTCAAGGATAGCTTCACAGGTTTCCCTTTAATATTGTTTCCCTAAAGCCAGCCCCTGCCTGACAAGGCAAAGCTTGAGCTCTCCAGTCTAAGGGCACCAACCTCTCCTAGGCAGGACATAGGGGTGGAAATGCTGTGAGCCTCGCTTCAGCAGGTTTCCTCTCGTGTCTCCATTGGGAGGCAGTCTGACTCTCACAGAAGAGGCTGCATGGTTCAAGCTATAAACCTAAGGCCTACTCAGATCTCAATGCCATCTACAACAGAGGCCTCATACCCCCCCACTGCAACCAAATCCCCACAGGGCTAACTGTGGTCTCTTGACAGCTTGGCTCCTTCGAACGCTGCTGCCCAAAATACACCCACTGGAAGGCAGGGTGGCTTCCATAGCACAGAGACTCCATGCATGTCACTGTAGACAGTATGCAGCAGCTGGCAGTACTTTGAACCACAGTTGGCAAGGGGGAGGGATGCAAACACACCATTCGGTGTTATTAACATTCTGTCCCACGTTTAGATCCTGGCCAAATTCCAGTGGGGGTGTCAGAGGAAGGGAGGAGCATACTATGCAGCCACAATTCCCCTACCCCAGATGTGAAAGCTTCAGCTCTCCTTTGCTCCTACAAGCAGAGCTTGGAGGTTCAGAAGAAGTTACAGCAGCAGCAATATCTTTACTCTCAAAACAAGGGACCAGACCTCTTTCAGTGCACTGCACCCCACTCACATCATGCAACCAAGACAAGCAGCACTGAACTCCTAACTTCCCCAAAACTGCAGTTGTGAAGTGGAAAGCAGTGTCTTTCCTTGAAGTGCCTACTTCCCACCACCCCAGGGAAAGACAGCTGCTCTAACAACAGGGGCCATGTGTCACCAAAGGATCGTCGTGGGGTTAAGACACTGCATTGGGCCTCTGGAAATCACTTCTCAGCTCTGCCACAGAGTCTCTGTGTGACCTCAGATAAGTCAATCTGTTGGTGCCTCAATCGCCCCTGCCCCCATCCATAACATGGGAGTCATTTTTCCCTACTCAGAAGGGTGATAGAGAGGCATTCATATACTATTGTGCCAGGAGCCATATAAATACCTAGTTAGAGTAGGACAAACTATCTGCAACATTCCTGGACTTAACAAGTGATACAACATCTGTGCTAACTTTAATACCCTTTATTTAGGGCACGGAATAGGGTCAGAAGGATGCATACAGCATTTAGGAACTGGAACCCTGCAATTACCGGTAATTAAAAATAATTCTTTAAGGTGGGCTTCATGAAACTGTAACTAGAGTAGGAGCAACACTGATGTGCTTTGAAGAGAATTTTGCCCAGTTCTCTCCATCAGGAGGGATATAGGGCCAAGTTAAAAGAGTATTAAACAGGAAAGCTGGAGGCTCAGATGGGGAAGGGAGTTAGAGATCAGAAGCAGACTTTTACCAGTGCACTGCTCTCCATTTCAGTAGTGGCCTCTTCATAAAGTCAAAGTCCTATAGAATTAGGTTGCTCCCTTTCCTTCCTGAGGAAGAAACACCAGCAGCTGGAGCAACTTCTTCTGGGAGCAAAACGCTTTGTAAATTTCTCCATTTGGTTCAAAGGGGAGAGTCTAGTAATTTGAAAAGAATCGCACCACATTCTGCACACACAAGCTAATCTGTACTGTCTCACTTTGAGGACTGTAGTAGGCCACACTTCTTGGGATGCCTGAACTCCTTGGTGTATAAAGGCAGTTCATTCTGGCATGAGTAGGCCCAGATGGGAACCACAAAACTGACTAATACGGCCTCTGAAAGGTTATATTCAAGGGTTGGAAAAGCACCGTCCAAGAAGCCTCTATACTGGATTCTAGCTTAATTTCATGTCCAGCTACTTCCCAGTCCTGCAGACAAAGCCTCCATCCAAGGGCTCAGATACTGAAAAGTTCCAAATGATGAAAACGTGAAACAGAAAAATATGGCTTCAATTTATTAAGCACTAGAAGAGCAAGTGCTGACACACCCTAACTGAACATAGCAAGAAACATTGTACACTATGGGGGCTGGAGCACTGAGATTCCAGGTGGATATCTACTCCTCTGTTCAAACTTTGTTCCCTTCCTGACAGAAACTGCAGAAACAAAATGCAGGCCTTAGCCATCCAGGATGCCACCAACCAGAGCCAGCTCAGTATTATGATCTGGCTAGCAGGAGTGGAAACACCCAGAGGACAGCTGAATTTTTCCCAAATGGTTACAAGGAACTGACCAGACTGCCTCTGCTCTAAAACTGCTTTTAAACGCTTTCGCTCACCTCTGCAACAAAATGCATTATATCTACTTCTATTACACAGCCATACTGTAACTTACAGAAAAGCTAGCAGTACAAAAATGGGGGACGGCAGAGCTCTATACTTCAAAGCCATCATGATTAGGGCTATAGCCCGAGCACAGTGGCAAGATCAGTATTCTAAGGAGATAGGCACCTGACATAATTAAGGGCCTGCTATCACTAAAAACCTGTAAAATGAATGAACTTTGATGACTTTTCTCATAATCCCTCCCCCCATGCAGACAGGTAAGGAGAAGAAGGGCTTACAACCTTGTCTCCAGAACAAAGGGAACATTTGAAAAAAAAACTCAGTCCACATCAGCTCTAATGAGCACTGTAGCTGGAATCTAAGAGACGTACGACTCACAATTTTAAACCCTCCCCACCACACCCAGTCAAGGAGAAGGATTTCTTTCAGTATGTATCTATTTCAGCAAGGCCTGCACTTACCCAGAATTCCTGCAGCTCTGTTAGATGGCTGACATTTTCAATCTTTTTGATCCTATTGGATGCAATGTCCAGCATTGTAAGTTTGTTCTGAAACAAGCAAATGAAAACTTTAGCTTGGATTTCCTCATCTCCTCCTCTACCCCACTCTGAATCCCAGAGCTGAAAATTCTGAGAAGCACTAGTAACACCACTGCCAGCTGGCTATATTGTTAGCTAGCAAAAAATACAATTGGCTAATTAGTCACTAATTAGTATTGTCCTATACTCCTACCCAGGATTATAAAACTTCTGAATATGAGAAAAAATACATTCAGTGCAAGGAGAACTCTCACTGCTTAACTACAGCAGAGAAGATAGTTTTTAAATCAAGACAGCTTGCCAACCTCCCTGAAACAACTGAAAACAATTACTAGCTGGCCAGTAGTTGCTGACGAACCAATTACTCCTGAGCAGTGAGCTTTCCTTGTAATATTTTAAGGTTAGTAATCAGACATTCCAACAAGAAGTTTTGGAATCTACAAAAAATCTGATTAAAAGAACTCTAAGGCGGCAGGTTTAAAGACAGGAATTCTATGCATTAGGAAGCCCAAAAGTTTTAGAAAATATATCTCTGCATATGCAGGAGATCAGCTAAATTACTCTGATTCCTCTGATCTCCAGGGGTGCCTCACAATGCCACCTATTGGTAAAAGGGCATGGAAACATCACAGGCTTCTCCGTAAGGGCAATCCAAGGCAGAAATACAGAAAGTTGGACGGATTTAAAAGAGAAAAATGGCATGGTTTGCCTCTTCTGACCCATGACAACTCACTTAGTCATTTCTGGTGCCTGTGTAAGAGAAACTCCTGGCTACCTATTACAGATCCAATTCATCTTTCAACTCAGGAGTTTAGCAGCAGAGATAACCAGCAGAAGTGTTGTTAGGCCTCCCTGTGCTAGTTCGCAAATTGTTACATTAACTGCTTCAAGACTCCATCTACCTGGTACCGTTTGACAGTCCACTCCAGACTGACTAGAAACATGCACGTTCCCAGCAGAAGAGGAGGCGGCTCATGTTTTGTTTTGTTGTTTTAGGTATAATAGATAAAGAACGTATACGGTTTTCCGAGAAGTTCAACTTTCTTTGGGTAACTTAAGGAAAACAGGAACTTCCCAGCAACACCAATGTAAGACGAACCCAGCCATCCTGGGAAGTATTGTGAGGCCAGCCCTGACAACTTCTTAAAGAAAGCTAATGAGACGCTCACATTGTTCTCCAGTCCCTCTATGACTTCTATGCCGTTGTGGCTAAGGTACAGCTCACGCAGATTCACCAGGTTCTGCAGACCCTCGATCTTGGTCAGCCGGTTGCTCTGAAATTGTACAGGAGGCAGTGAAAGTCCAGCCCAAAGGAATGAACCCAGAGTGAACTCTTACACAAGAAAGAATTTCAAGAACATTTCTACAGAGCACAGATCATTTAGATAGAAATAAAGTGCATGGGAAGGAAGGACTTTGCATGTTACAGAGGAAGGAACTGCACAACGCTGTACTTGATGGATCTGGGACATTCAGTTACTTTGAAACATTTGTAACCAACTCACAAGAGTCCCTTCAAACCTGGCAGGATCTCGGATTCTCTCCCTACTTATGACAACTGCAACCCTGAAGGCCTTTTCTGTTTAGTCTCTTTAGAAGACCAGGCAAGGACTTCAACAGCACTCATTTTATATTGCTCTTTTATGAGCTGGGGAAGAGGACGATGTAGCAATTATAAACAGACTCCCAAATACATCTGTTATGTGCTTACTGTGTCTGTCATACATGCGAAGTTTTTATTGGCAGTGAAACACTGTGTGTACTAATGTCTGATTGTTATACCCCCTGCTGGAACTTGCCAGGCTACTATACTGGTGTGCAGGGGAAAAGAGATTGTTTCTCTGACCCAGACTGAGGTGTCATTAGAGGAGGTTTTGGAACAAACTGATAAATTAAACAGTAATAAGTCACCAGGACCAGATGATAATCACCCAACAGTTCTGAAGGAACTCAAATGTGAAATTGCAGAACTACTAATTGGGATATGTAATTTATCATTTGAATCGGCTTCTGTACCAGATGATTGGAGGATAGCTATTGTGACACTAATTTTTTAAAAAGGTTCCAGACGCAATCCCAGCAATTACAGGCCAGTAAGTCTAACTTCAGTGCCGGACAAACTGGTTGAAACGAAAGTAAACAGAATTATCAGACACATAGATGAACGTGATTTGTTGGGGAAGAGTCAACATGGTTTTTGTAAAGGGAAATCCTGCCTTACCAATCTACTAGAATTCTTTGAGGGGGTCAACAAGCACGTGGACAAGAGGGAAAACCAGTAGATATAGTGTACTTAGATTTTCAGAAAGCCTTTGACAAGGTCCCTCACCAAAAGCTCTTAAACAAAGTAAGCTGTCATGGGATAAGAGGGATGGCCCTCATAGATAACTGGTTAAAAGATAGGAAACAAAGGGTAGGTATAAATGGTCAGTTTTCAGAATGGGGAGAGGTAAATAGTGGTGTCCCCCAGGGGTCTGTACTGGGACCAGAATTGTTCAATATATTCATAAATAAGGCTAAGTTTTTGTCATGGATATTTTTAGTAAAAGTCATGGACAGGTCACAGGATATAAATAAAAATTCACGGAAGCCCGCAACCTGTCCCTGGCTTTCACAAAAAATATCCCTGACAAAAGGGTAAGTGGGTTCAGCACCCACTGCTGCTGGGGGTCCCTGGTGCCGCCCCCCTCCCTGCCGTGGCTGGGCAGCTGTGGGGAGTCCCCTGCCGTGGCTGGGCAGCTGCAGGGTCCCCCCACCAAGGTGGGGGCTGGGAGCTGCGGGAGTAGGGCTGGCTGGGAGCTCCAGCCCCCAGGCCAGAAATGTCACAGAGGTCAACAGAAGTCACGTTCCGTGACAAAATCATAGCCTTATTCATAAATTATCTGGAAAAAGAGGTAAATAGTGAGGTGGCAAAATTTGCAGATGATACAAAACTACTCAAGATAGTTAAGCCCTAAGCGGACTGTAAAGAGTTACAAAGGGATGGGTGACTGAGCAACAAAATGGCAGATGAAATTCAATGTTGATAAATGCAAAGTAATGCAAATTGGAAAACAATCTCAACTATATATACAAAATGATGGGGTCTATATTAGCTGTTACCACTCAAGAAAGAGATCTTGGAGTCATTGTGGATAGTTCTCTGAAAACATCCACTCAATGTGCAGCGGCAGTCAAAAAAGCAAACAGAATGTGGGGAATCATTAGGAAAGGGATAGATCAGGGGTAGGCAACCTATGGCACGTGTGCCGAACGCGGCACGCGAGCTGATTTTCAGTGGCACTCAGTGGCCACCGGTCTGAGGGGGCTCTGCATTTTAATTTAAATTTTAAATGAAGCTTCTTAAACATTTTAAAAACCTTATTTATTTTACATACAACAATAGCTTAGTTATATATTATAGACTTATAGAAAGAGACCTTCTAAAAAGGTTAAAATGTATTACTGGCACGCGAAACCTTAAATCAGAGTGAATAAATGAAGACACGGCACATCACTTCTGAAAGGTTGCCGACCCCTGGGATAGATAATAAGACAGAAAATATCATATTGCCTCTATATAAATAGAAGGTACGCCCACAACTTGAATACTGTGCGCAGATATGGTTGCCCCATCTCAAAAAAGATATAGTGGAATTGGAAAAGGTACAGAAAAGGACAACAAAAATGATTAGGGGTATGGAACGGCTGCCGTACGAGCAGAGATTAATAAGATTGGGACTTCTCATCTTGGAAGAGAGATGACTAAGGGGGGATATGATTGAGGTCTATAAAATCATGACTGGTGTGGAGAAAGTAAATAAGGAAGTGTTATTTACTCCTCCTCATAACACAACTAGGGGTCACCAAATGAAATTAATAGGCAGCAGGTTTAAAACAAACAAAAGGAAATAATTCTTCACACAATGCACAGTCAGTCTTGTGAAACTCTTTGCCAGAGGATATTGTGAAGGCGAAGACATTAACAAGGTTAAAAAAGAATTAGATAAGTTCATGGAGGATAGGTCCATCAATGGCTATCAGCCAGGATGGGCAGGGATGGTGTCCCTAGCCTGTTTGTTTGCCAGGAGCTGGGAAAAGGGCGACAGAGGATGAATCACTCGATGATTATCTGTTCTGTTCATTCCCTCTGGGGCACCTGGGCAGCGGCCACTGTCAGAAGACGGGATACTGGGCTAGATGGACCATTGGTCTGATCTAGTATGGCCATTCTTATAGTCAAATGTTTTTTAATACTTTTATTAGTTCTGCATGTTAAAAGTGAGACACTTGGTATCAGGGCAAAAAGGATAAATCCCCTCATTTAGCACAGCCTTGGGGAGATTTCTTCTTTTCCACTGCTGCAGCAAGAGGAAAGCATCCTCTGGGGACTGCTGCTGTAAGGTCAACCCCAGTGCTTAATTTGTGCTAGGGCTTGCCAAGGCTGAGCCTGTAGGCTTGGCAGTTCGTAACCCTGGCACCTCTGGGATTCCCATGTCAGTTATGACAGTAAAAAAAAATGGCTTGAGCCCTGGCACCTCTTTCATTACAATTACTAGAAGTTAGTAAACGTATTTCAGCCAAGGAAGCAGAAGTATTTCTTTCTTCCTCCCCTCAACCAATGTAGAACTAGACACCCATTTGATGCACTTATAAAGTGCTTGCAGTTCCATTTTCAAAGGGCATGAAACAAAATACCAAGCACAGAGAATGTCAGTCTTTAGCTGAAGAAACAGTGCAGATCTGCTGATTCAGGCTGAGTCATGCTTTAAATTGAGCTGTGGTTTACATGTTCCCTTGTCAAGGTGGAATGAGGAACCCAGGGAGGATCAATACCTGTATACTGAGCACTGTCAAGTTTGTCAGTGCATCCAAGTTCTGGAGCTTGGTGATTTTGTTCTTTCCCAGGAATAGGCTGTCCAGGTTAGTCAGTGTGTCAGTATTCTCAATTGCCTGTAAAATGACCAAAGGAGGCAGTGTTACTGCTCTGGGCACTACTCCCAGCCTTAGGTGCCACCACCAGACTCGTTTAAAGACAGTGTTCAGATGGTGGGAGCACAGCAAGCAAACCTAGATCTCCTGATCAAATTAACCATTCTGTCCTTCTGGATCTATGAGTGCTAAAATGACTATTCATATTCAGATTAGAACTTATGCCATACCATCCAGATGTTTTTCCACCTGGAGTTTTGAAAGCAAGCAATCTTAGATGTTAGAGATGTTCCCACAGCGGTTCTCAAACTTCATTGCACCACGACCCCCTTCTGATAACAAAATTACTACATGACCCCGCCCCCCGGGGAAAGGGGGAGAAAGGAGGTGGCTGGAGCCCGGGGGTGGAGCTTGGGCTTCAGCTTCAGCCGTGGGTCCCAGCAAGTCTAATGCTAGGCTTGGCGACACCATTAAAATGGGATCGCAACCCACTTTGGGGCCTGGACACACAATTTGAGAACTGCTGTGTTAGTGAATCTGGCATCCCTAACTAGGGGGAAAGGAAAGGGGAGACAGTCTATGGAAAGATCCAATTTTTCTGGTGGAGTTCACATTACTCTTTATAATCCCCAAAGAAATTTAATAGTCTGATGAGCAATTCCCTAGAAGGCAGAAGCCATTATCCCACGTCACCCAGAATGAATAGTGAGCTGAATCCATTTAGAAAACTCCCTCTTAACATAATAAATAACTTCAGAAGACAAACACATTACAGCCAACCCAATTGAATGAGAATGGAAGTTATTGTGCTTGGCAGATACATTGGACTTGTTTTTAAAAAGGCTTCTGAGGATGGAAGCATTTTCAATATTACAAACACCATGTTCCATCCATTGAGATTAACTATTGCATTCATCCACAGCTGTGCTGCTGAGAATCACAACCCCGAATGATTCTGCAACACCTAGTTCACATGAGCTGGGGCCTGCCTTGGGGGGGGGGGGGGGAGGGGGGGCAGGAGCAGCACAAATGCCAGCATGCTTTCATGGAATGAATCCAGCAGTGGGAGCTAGGAACTCCTGAGTCTTAATCCTGACTCTGCCATTGTGATGTGTGGCCTGAGGCAAGTCATTCAGCCTGTGTCTCAGTTTCCCTATAATTAAATAAGGAGAATAATGCTTTTTAGTTTCACAGGGATGTTTAGTTCATAATGAGACAGTGCTTTGAAGATGGAAATGCTATACATGTGCCAAATATTACTATTAGTACAACATGTGCCATTCTAGTTTAAGAACCGAACTGCTTGGAGTGAAGGGGGTGGGGGGAAGAATGAGGAGATTTCCCTCTGGATGATCAAAAGAACTGTATTGTTTCCAAAAAGAGATGTGTCCAGCCCTCCTTACCAGAGAAAGTACCAGAGGGCAGTGTGAAAGGGGGGATCCGAGAGACTCCCATAAAGAAAAGGAAACACAGGCAAGCTTAAAAAAAAAAAATAGGGATCTTCAGCACATAAATAATTGAAGAAATTTTCTTTTCCTTCTCCCAGAGCCTCAAAGGCATATAATATTGATCAGACAAGTCATATACAACAACTTATAATGGACTCTAAAGTAGCTCAGAAAAATATTCGAACAACAAGAGTGTTGTAATTGAAAAGGCTTTTCGGTGTCTGCCATGTAGCCATCAACAGACGGGGGAGAAACTTGCAGCTAATACCACCTCTGATACAACCAGCTGATACCCCCTCACTGGCAACTCCTGATGTGGTAATGGGGAAGAAAATGCTTAGAGTTCTGGGGATATGTAAGGAGAAGAAAATGGATGGGGAGGAAGAGGACGGATCTCTCTCCTTAAAGCAATGAGAGTCAATGAGATGCTTATTTTAGTGAGACTATTATAGAATAAGTGCAGTTGGGAGACATAAGAGGTAGGTCATCAGTTAAACATCTGTTTGATAATTGGTTTAGTCCAGCCTGGGGGGGGGGGGGAAAGGAAAAGCAAGAAAATTTACCAGAACAGGCACAAAATAAATTTACTTGCCCGTGCTTATCATGACACCACCAATCAGAGAATTAGCAGCATTTTACCTACCCATCACAAAGAAGAATTACTTGACATCAAGTGAGAGAATTTTGCAAGGCAACTGACCCTTGGCTGCAAATTCCAGTGCTCTTGCCATTCATTCTAATGCACCCTCTGTCAAGAAGCCAGAAAAGTCCCGAGCATCAAAATATTGATATGACCTTGTTAAAGATTGAGATTTCAAAAGGTCCTTTCTTATGTCTTCACCCTACAGATTTATCTCCAGGTATCTGTCCAGCTGTAAAGCACAAGGCACAAGTTACACTGCAGAAGAGAGCTACAGCTATCAAAGGTTTTTATTGCCCACAAACCCAACAGGGACAGGAGCTATTTCCTTGCGTCTGCCTGGAAGTGCACTCCTCTCATCAGTGCGCTGCAGCAGCCAGCCACTTAGGATAGGGCCACTTTGAGAAGTCAGAATATGATCAGTCTACAAGGATAGGTACCATGTTTCTAATTTTTTTTTTTCATTAAAATAAGCTTTAGAGGTTACATAATCTGATGTGACCTATCTCCACATACCTTTCAGTCCTTTACCATGGAGGACAATGCACCTAAATTTGTACTTATTTATTTTTAAGCTGTTGGAAGAGATTGTCTGGGTAGACCCTATCTGCAGCAATACAGTATAAGAACATAACAGGATCCTCTCGGTCTTTCTCTACCTTGGAATGATTCAAATTGCCTCATGTACCCACAGATGTGGGATAGAAGCTAGTCCACTGAATTCAGTTTGCTGGATTCCTGCCTGTCTCTCCAGGCCACCTATGGAGATCCTATTGCCCTGTTTATGCAAAGTCCAAGATTCCCAATCATTTAACTGGCTGCAGCCCCAAAACTGCAGTGTTATTCCCCACAGCAGTTTCATTTCACAAGTAATACTTCCCTCTGTTGGGGAGAAATGGATGGGGCTCTCTTTTAGCTGTGAAGGGAAATCTACTGACTCTATAATGCAAGCAAAGTGCTCCTCCCCTTCAGCCTAAAAAAAAAGGCTGACCACAGGGAAGGGGAAGGAATTGCACCTGGGGTCCATGAAGAGAAACGTGCTCCCAGGTGGTTATGATAAAAAAAAAAAAAAAAAAAAAAAAAAACTTCAAGAACTCTCTCCCCACCTCAGATGCTTTCCTTCTTTTCTTGTTATCGCCCTCAGCACAACAGCTGGTTTACCAAAGAAGCTGAGTTAAAGGGATACCGTCAACTTAGAAATCACCATTCAGACTGACATTTTTCTACCTACTATTGTTACAAGCATTCCCTAAGTTTCCTATCTTGAAAGAGATTAGGGAAGCATTTCTCTCTATTTCACATTATTTATCTTGAGCATTTGACAGCATTTTATGTATAGTCAGTTTCAGTATTCCCCATGTTCCCTTTTTTGTGTGGATCTCACACCCAGCAACAGCAAGAGAACACACAATTGGCAGGGGTATGTAGTATCTGAAACCACTCCATCTTCTTGAAGTTGACCATGTCCCTAAGGTCAGGAGAACCACATGGGTGAAAACAAATGATAGAAAGGAAAAGTCAGTTGTAGGATAGGAGATGTACAGGCATTTTAGGCTATAAGTGAAGTAAAATAACTAATTCTTACTATAGGTTAGCAACACCTGCATGAAGCAGCATAAACCAGAAATGAAAAAACAGATCTAAGCTTAACAGATTTCAATACTCAAACATGTATACCTGAACACAGTGCCTTGCTCAAAAAAGATGAAAGGAAACTGAAGACACATTGGACATCTGAGTCCCTCTCCACAACCAACATATGACTTGGGTGGGCGGCTGGCTTCCCCTGCTGTATTCCTGTGAGACAGCTTTGATTCTTGTATCAAAAGTGTTACTGCCTAAGTTATTGGCAAGCTCATGGCACTATTCCAGTATGATTACATTGTTACAAGAACCTGAGTATTTTCAAGGCAGAAATCAGCTTTTTTCTTATGATGCCCATGATCTTCTTTTCCTAGGGTGCACTGTCCCTTTATGGAACAAAAAGAACAGAAGTACTTGTGGCATCTTAGAGACTAATCAATTTATTTGAGCATAAGCTTTCGTGGGCTACAGCCCACTTCTTCGGATGCATAGAATGGAACATATATTGAGGACGGACGGACGGATGGACGGACACACACACACAGCATGAAAAGGTGGGAGTTGTCTTACCAACTCTGAGAGGCCAATTAAGTAAGAGAAAAAAAACTTTTGAAGTGATAATCAAGATAGCCCAGTACAGACAGTTTGATAAGAAGTGTGAATCTACTGAAACATTGAATCTATCTCCCCATGTAAGTATTCTCACACTTCTTATCAAACTGTCTGTACTGGGCTATCTTGATTATCACTTCAAAAGTTTTTTTTCCCCTCTTACTTAATTGGCCTCTCAGAGTTGGTAAGACAACTCCCACCTTTTCATGCTCTCTGTATGTGTATATATATATCTCCTCAATATATGTTCCATTCTATGCATCCGAAGAAGTGGGCTGTAGCCCACGAAAGCTTATGCTCAAATAAATTGGTTAGTCTCTAAGATGCCACAAGTACTCCTGTTCTTTTTGCGGATACAGACTAACACGGCTGCTACTCTGAAACCTGTCATTATGGAACAAAGTGAGTCACTGCAAGTAACATTTTCAGAAGTGCACAGCGCATCTAAATCCTAATTTAAAAAGTCACTGACACACTAAGTCAACAGAATGTAGGCTCCTAAGTGACATCTGAAAATAGAACTCTGGGTAAAATTTTCAAAAGCACACAAGAAATAAAATGGACCATTTCAGTTATGCCTAATCAGTTCTATATAAGACTAAAGTAATCACAGAGTAAAAAGTCCCAATCAAAGGAAAGCAGCATGGCTGGATTGTCTCTGATAGTTCAACTAGAACAGAGCTTTCCAGTCTCCAAGATGTATGCAGAACAAGACAGAAGAGAGGAGCAGCTGCTCCCTTTCTAGGCTGGTTTCTGACCTCATCTCTAGAGACGGGACTGGTCAGCATCCAAATGAGTGAGTGTGCAAGGAAGAGGACTTGGAAAAGACTAAGCCATACCCTACCACTCCAGATCTTGCATAGCAGATATTACAGGTACTCCCTTTTTCTCCAAAAATATGTGCATTCCTTCTATCTGCCCCTTCCACATTTCTATGCGACACGACTGGGTTGTCTCAGTTGTATCTAGCCAGCTATTACTGGATCCCCATCTACTTTCACCACAGAGTAGATGTTAATTTTGCTACTACTATACATTTGCAGTCGTGCCTACCCGGATTCGATTGGATCCCAGCTCTAACATCTGTAATTGCTGTAAGTTGCTCAGGTTCTCAATTTTGCTGATTTTATTGTTGACCAGGAAGAGTTTTTTAAGCTGGGTGAGCCGGTCTAGTCCTTCAATGTGTCGCAGCAAGTTAAAAGAGATGTCCAGGATCCTGCCATAAGCAAAGCAAACAAAGACCTCGTCAATCCAAGGCAAAAGCAAAGGGAGACCATAGAAAGGGTACTTGCATACGTCGGGGGGAAAGGATCTAAAGCAAATTTCCATTTTGTTAGCACACCGAGCTATAGGGAGTCAGAAAAGGCATTTGTTTACCATACAGGGAATTAAATACATGCTTAAAACAGGGTTTGAAGAAACAAAGAATTGGCACTACTGTTACATCACCATCTGAACCTAACCCAACAGTGGCACTTCGGCCTCCAATTTTAAAAGTGCTATTACAACATCCCTTTCCCAACCCAGCATGTCCCTATGGAAATTCCCTCTGAAAAGCACCAGATCAAAACCTCCCTTAAGCACTAGACAGTTACTACTAGTGGAGGCATTTATGTACTCAGTCTAAACTAAGCTGAATTTCAGTATCCCCAACAATTTATCACCTCTTGCAAGGCCTCGTGTCCTCTAGCCAGGAGGACAGTATACAGAATTCAGCTGCTTGGAGGAGGAAGGATGAGTTTGTGGTTAGGACACTGGACTGGGATTCAGTTCCCTGCTATAGATGTTCACTGTGACCTTGAGCGAGTCACTGTATAATGGGGATAACAATACTCTCTTTCTGCTACCTTTTGTCTGCCTTGCTAAGTTAGACTGGAAGCTCTTCAGGGCAGGAACTGTGTTTGTATAGTGCCCTGCACAAAGGGGCTCTGATCTCACTCATGGCCAGTAGCTGCTTTTATAATGCAAACGCTAGTTACAGTGGTCACCACAGAACAGGGGGGAGGGATAGCTCAGTGGTTTGAGCATTGGCCTGCTAAACCCAGGGTTGTGAGTTCAATCCTTGAGGGGGCCACTTAGGGATCTGGGGCAAAATCAGTACTTGGTCCTGCTAGTGAAGGCAGGGGGCTGGACTTAATGACCTTTCAAGGTCCCTTCCAGTTCTAGGAGATAGGATATCTCCATTAATTTATATTTTAACAATGGGAGGCTACACTCCTCTTCTCTGGGGTAGAAGTCCATTACCGCCATGCAGCACTCCAGCCACACATCTGCAGTACATTTAATTTTTGTCCCTAATCGCCTCCAGAGTAATTAAACCAGTTTACAGCAAGACCTAAATCCCAATGAAGAACACAAGACATTGTGTATGTAGCACCCATGTGAATCTCCACAAGAAAAGTCTACAAGCAGAGAGTGCCGCTAATGTAATTAAGGTTTGGTTTTTTTTTTTTTTTTTTTTTTTTTAATGCCTAATGATACATTTTGCTTGACAACCACTTTATAGAAAGCCTGCAGACTGGCAGCCTCATTTACTACATCACCATGCAGTCCTGGTCATTCCCTCCTCGCTGGATACTCACTCAAGGTCTGTCAGGGCCTCTAAGTTCTCAATCTTCCGAATCTGATTGTCGTAGAGATCCAGTTCTCTGAGAGTCTGCAGCTGTTCCAGGTTCTCGATGCACTTAACCAAATTCTGACGCAGACACAGAGTCTGAGTATTGGGGATAAGTTAAAAAAAAGCCACAACAAAGTGAGAAAAACCTCATGAGAAAAAAAAAAATGCATCTGAAAAAGACAATATGCACCCTTTCTTTGGAGTTACCATCAGACTCCATTTTATAGTTCACCCCCATTACCATGAGAAGAAGGAAATGTCGATCCAGTTTCTTTAAGGACAAGAAAAGCACAGCCATGCCAGGTATAGGGTGAGGAAGGAGCACATAGAACTGATGCTGTGGCTAGCCCATTAACTAAAGGCCCAATTCAAGTCAATAGGAATTTAGTCATGGACTTCAAGGATTGCAGGTTTCAGCCCAAAGGGAGTCATGTTCTAGAAGCAGGGAGGGACCTCGTTCCCATTATCTTGTTGAAAGGATTCTGCTATGCCACAGACTTGCAAAGTAAGGACAGGCCATTCTAGCTGAAAGGATGGACCATCACACAGGAAGAATCCTTGCAATGCTGAAAAAAGCAATACAGTCAATACATTTTTCTACAGAATTTTGCTTCTCTAGTTTTGTTAATAGCAGTCCTGCTGGAGCTAGTTACACTTCAAATTAGGGTTCAGCATCACAGTTTGCTGGTCCAAAGACCAAAGAACTTACTTCCAACTGACTAGTCTCTCAACAAAGGCATATTTTATGTTTCAGCCTATCATAGAGTATACTATAGTCTCAAAATGCACAACAGTGATTTTCAGAAAGCCCTCAAAAGTTATTGTTATGGCAGATGTCACCAGGTCACACTGTTAAAAATCTTCCAAGTTGATCGCGTGCAAGCAAATTTTTAGTCTTGGAAGAAATGCTTGTAGTGGTGTTAGGTTTTGGTTGTGCAAGTTTAGGTGTAGAGGCAGCTTTGGGAAGAGACGGAGTTGTGGAAGCAGCAGGAGAGATTGCTCTCTGCCTCGATGTCAAATCTTGAAGCAGAGTTTGTGTTGAGCTGAGATTCCTGAAAGAAGGGAGTTGCCTGCACCTCTGTTCCAGGATGGTGTGTAGGTGTAAATAAAGCAAGTTACACTTTGAATAAACCTAGATTCCACGTCACTGAGTTCTCCTCCACTGGGAAGCAGACTTACAAGACCCTGACATCTGCTGCTGCTTGGCAGAAAGGCAGGTACATTCTTCATAGCCACACATCTTAAAAGGTTATTGCTCATTAGAATCTCTGCTGGTTCCCAGCTAGAGAAAGACTCATCATACTGGCTGACTTACAGATAAATGACATAAAAGATTCGCAGCTCCTAGAGTTGCTTGTACCTTGATGCTCACCATCCCTTCTGAGTCTCACCTTCACTTTCTTGAGCACTTCAAATCCCTCGATCTTTCCAATTCGGAAATGATTCAGGTCAACATCCTGAAAGAGAAAAGACTCTGACTCATCCGCTGGCTGTTTAGGGTTGAAGGTTTGTTTCATGATAGTGTCTTCCAAGTCCAGAGTGCAAATGTTGCTTGTGCCTTGCCTTGAAAGGGAGACTGTAGGTTCATAGAATATATAGACCTCAATATGACCCCTTCTTCTTAAAAAGCTTGCAAAACTCTGGTCTTGCAGGCAGCTGTGCGGCATTAAGTATGAGGGGGAGCTTGGGTTTGTTGCCCAAGATGGCATGTCTGCCTACAGCTGAAAAAGTCTGAACTAGAGAATATTTTAGTGATTATAGCAACCTGCATGTGTTTGGTTCATTTAACAGAAGGGAAGTTTTTTGGATGAGTTTAGATCTTATGAAGATAAAGTGCTAATTCTATTGGCTAGAGCTAGGTACTGCACAGGATTCCCATACATACCTTTCTAGTGTTACCTCAATCCTAACTAGAGCATCCTTTGCTATTCCTGTCCTGGGCCTCTGCCGGCAGAGATTGCCAACTGTGTCAAATTATTTGGTGGTTTTGTGACTTCAGATGTGAATAGGTGAACAGCTAATACATTTACCATCTGTGCTGCCTAGTCCCTGCTCTTCAGTTTTTGCCAGAGAAACATACAAACAAAATGTAAATACAACACCTGCCAAAGTTCAGCAAATTTCTCTGTAAACAGTCTCTCACAATTCATTTATCTGACAGGCTGAGTGGATAACTTCCTATGTGTGCTGACAGAATAAAGTTTTGCAACAGCAAGGAGATCTTTAAAGACAGTCTAACAAATGCTTACAACCTGTTGCTTGATGTTTATATTGTTTCTGCTTTAAAATGACTCCACACTTGTCCTAATAACCCAAGTTGTTACAAAAAAATCCAAGCTATTGATTTAAAAAGTACATCTTTGCTTCTGATTGTAAAACTCAAATTCAATTTTGGGGAGATCTGGACAGCCAACACTTCCGGAAGAATTATTCCTCTTGTCCAAGATTCAAATACTTTCTCACAGAACTAGTCATCCTTTGCCTACCTTTCCTTCTTTAAATAAGTCCGATATGAATGCAACCAGCATTACCTCAGCTTCTGGGTCCAGGTTAATTGTCTCCATATCGACTGGTGTCTCTGCTTCTCCTGCAGCAGAATGAGAACATACAGTATAAACTCACGTTATACATCAACTGATGGAAAGGCTGCAGTGCTTCTCCACTGGGCGGGGAGGTGTGGGAGTGAATGCTCTTTAGGCAATCTAGGAAGGTGAGAAATATACTGCTTTGAGTCTTTGCTGCACTGGACAGAAGCTGCAGCTACATGAATGTCAACACTGTCCATCTAGTTGAGAATGCAAACGTCACTAACAACAGAATTTCGTACTTTGATACATAGTGCAGAAAATAATTATAAATCTCCAGCCTAGCTCTAGTAAAGCTGGTAAATGCTGCTGGCTCAACACCCAGGTATGATGGGGGTTTCTGGTTGAAGTAGTGACTAATACCAGGATGCCAGGTTTTAGCAGGACTGTTGATTTTTCAGCTACCCTGACATTTAGCTCATTTACTCCTGCACATTCTCCATCTTCCCTTGTGAACAGTCACAGTTGCTGAAATAACTGCTCTCCTCAGATAACCCAGTACAATGTTCCCAGGGGAAAAATTAGCACACACAGGTTGTCTGGCAGAAACACATTGACCTGCATGTTCAACTACCTGAAGAATTCCACCCTTATTGAAATACTGAAAGCATATGTTACTGGTTTGCATGCCTTCTTGAATGGTTTTTCCTTTTTGTTTAAATGAGCACACCAATATTTTAGAATGCAGCATTTGTTATGCTGGGTATGTTGTTCTGGGAAATGCTTTTACATCTCTGGAACACAGCCCAGTATTTTCATGCACTTCTAGCACAATATTAGAGGGTATTTAGTGGAGAGATTCATGTTGAATAATTCATGTGTGTTTCCCATTTGGTGAAGAGGGTGGGCTGGGTGTATCAATTTCAGTATAAGATTTCAAAAGACAGATATACAACATACGAACAGGTTACATTTCAAACCTATGGTCCCCTTATGCTGAAGGAAACCTACAGGAATTAACTACTGCTGAGCACACAGACTTTGGATTAATCCTTATATCGCTTTATGCGATCTCACTCCATTAGCCCCTTCAGTAATACCTGATCCTATTTGTATTTTGGTTCAATCAAGCATCCATTCAAATGACTAATATCCAACTACACTGGACAAGTGCATTTCTTAGATGTACCTGACACACACCCCGGCACTGAAGGGATTCATGGTACAGAATTAAAACTCAATAGAGTCTAGCAGACAGATTTGCCAATATTCTCAAATTCTGTAATATATGTTGCCTGCTTTACTTCTACTATTGCCCCTATTTCATCAATTCAGAATGGGAGGACTGACTGACTCAGGGGAATTGACGAGTGATATGGAGCCTTTGACTTCTATCTTTCTAATTTGAATACAGCATAAATCAGCAGTGACCACAACTTGTAGCCATCTGACGTGAAACAAGCTTGTGGTTTGGGAGCCGTTCTGAGTAACATCACAAAAAACTCGGCCACAACTGACACCAATCAGTATGCTGGTTGGCAGCCTCAGCAGATGCCAAAGGATGAATTATCCTGTGATCCTTCCAGGCAATCCCTTCTTGTTTGGGTTGAAACACCTTAGTAGAAGCATGCTCTGCCACTGCCAAAGCTGTACACATTCTATGGATGACTAGAGTAAAAAAGGCTGCCAAACTGCCAACAGCCTCAGCCCAAACAAATTACGCTGCAACGAACAGCCCAACTGAATTTACAGCCAGCCAACTACAGAACTGCAGGGCAAGACTGTAACAACAATTATTTGAGATCTCACTTGAAACTAACACATTCTCCTTGTATTAAGAAGTATAAAGAGCCTGTTGCAGGGCATAAGGTACAAGAGGCCACTCCACTGTATCTCTACAATTCTCCAATGACAACATTGCCAAAACGATACAGCTGGTAGATCATTGTGATTAACAAACACTAGTATTATTCAAAACCTTACTGTGCTTTGTTCCATGACAAGCTCCCTCAGGATCACCTCGGTACTGACCGTTCACATGTACTTTCTTTGGCGGCAATGAGTTAATACAATACTACTTTAACTGGTGAGCCCCGATTGGAAGGCTCGACATAAGTGCACTAAACAGACATTAATAAAAAAACCCAAAAATCCCTGTACTGTCACCATTTGACATTGGGTAAAATAAGCCACAGACAGGTTAGATGGTTTATCTAAGGTCACACGCAAATTCTGTGTCAGAGCCAGGAATGGAAACCACATCTGACTCCCAGTCTTGTGCTTAAATCAATAAGGTAATGGAACCTCTTAATGACAAAGTCTGCCCTTCCCAGAACACTCTACATACTTGTATATGCTATGCTAACACCATGAGTATAAATAAAGATTTCATTGGGAAGAACATGGCTGCCCACCTGATTTCACTACTCATACATAATTCATGTTATCCCAAACAAGTGCCAATAAAACTTGTCACCACACTAGCATTTATTTTATGGCAGGGGTTCTCAACTTTTTTCTTGAGGCCCCCCTCAACAGGCTAATAAAACATCAGGGCGGGGGGGGGGGGGGAGGGAGAAGAGACGTGTGGGTCTCTGAGCCAGGGTGTGTGGGGGAACCCTTGGGCATAGGCATAGTTTTACTTCTATTTTTTTTTGGGGGGGGGGGGGGGGGCAAGAGATGGTGGGGCTCAAGCCAGGTCTGCAAAGCGGGGTCCAGGGAGGGAGCACTACCTCCACCCTGACTCACTCAGGAGGCCACTCAGCCTGTCTGGGCTATGGGGGGATGCAATCAAAAAAATATAACTCAAAGTGGGGACTCAGTTCAAAAAGTTTGAAAATCGCTCAGGATGCAGGGAGGGGGTAGCTGGGGCTGTGTACAGGTGGGGCGGGCTCCCAGTGCTGCTCCTGGCTTGGGGGGCTTGAAGGAGGGGGTGCTGGCATCAGCCCTGTGCACAGCTTGGGGGGAGGGGAGGGGGGAAGAAGGGAACACTGGCTTCAGCCCCGCGCCACTCCTGGCTTGGGGGAGGCTGTGGGGGGGGGGGGGTGTGTGCCAGCTTCAGCCCTTCGACGCTTCCGGCTTTGGGGGAGGGGGGGAGAGGGGGCGCCAGCTTCAGCTCTGTGACGTTCCCGGGTTGGAGGGGAGTGTAGGAGGGCGCTGGCTTCAGCCCTGCAATGCTCCCAGCTTGGGGGGAGTGTAGGGGGGCGCTAGCTTCAGCCCCGCAATGCTCCCGGCTTGGGGAGGTGGGGGGGGGGAAAGGGGGGCGCCAGCTTCAGCCCCGCGACACTCCAGGTTTCAGCACTGGGGCTTGGGGCACCAGGTTTCAGCCGTGGGGCTCTGCGGCCCCCCTGAAAGGGCTCACGGACCACTAGGGGGTCACAGACCCCCAGTTGAGAACTGCTGGTTTATGGCACGTTAGAGACAATCTTTAGAATTCCTAAATCTTACTTAGATTTGGGATTAACACGTCATATTAAACACAATGTTTAATATGTTAAACATATTCCTGTATGTTCTGTATCTATCTGCTTGCAAAGCTGGGTTGCCTTAGTTACTTTAAGTCATGCTATTTAAAGCAATCCAGCTTTAGAGTCAGAGCAAGAGTTATCAATACATAAATAAGCCAGCTCAAATGTTTCAAGAGTAGTTTTTTAAAGGAGACAGCAAGAAACCCTCTCATTCCCTCCTCCTTCTACTCTCCTCGCCCACACGCATTCATCCCCGTTGTAGTTACAGCAAAGAAGCTGTACACGACCTACTTTCCCATGGGTTTAGAGAGACAGAGTGGGCTGGAAGAACCACTGTACCACTGGAGAAGTTGGGGGACTTTTCCCTTTTCTATTTGTGGTAGCTAAAATTATAAATAAAGACAGATTGTGGATTTATTTATTTATTTATTTGACACTCTTCTAACAGGGTTGGTATTTTTTAAATAGTCCAGGCAGACAGCACATGAGAAGTCCTAAGGTGCCAAATAAATATAAATAGTGATGATGATAACTGTGAAATACACATGTGTGAATATATATCAAGTATAACAACCTACAGACATGCAATTTAAAACCAAATATACAAAAGTCAGGAAATGTAAAATAGTTAAGATTTACATAGCAATGCTGACTCCCCCGCCCCGCCCCATTCTATATCCTACATATTAAGATGGATTACACATTTAATAGTCTCATCAGACAGACCTATATATGTGCAACACAGGTGACATAACATTGCTATAGGAACCTTAAAATGTATTTCGATTCTGCAAAGTAAGTAATAAAAACAGTACTAACAGATCTACTTCCTATTGGTAGTCTGTCTGTAATCTTCTTATTTCTCTAACAAAAATAAGTTTTTACTGCTCTTTACTCCTGTTAGCACTTTATATCCAATACTGGCTCCTGCATTATCACCAGAACTATTATGTTCTGATTGCAGAATCTTTTGATATCTGTGGTGGTACTGGAGCCAGAAAGAACCCTGCTTGATTTTCAGAATCAATGCACTAGATAGAAAAATAACAGGTTTTTACTTGTAAACTGAGTAAAAGTGATATAGCATCACTAACAGGCATCAAACACATAATCCTATACTGGTATTTTTACAGTCATTGCTAAGAGTAGAACTGCACTTTAACTCGTGTATTAAAATATGTTAATATTGGTTTAGCACAATTTTTTATATATATATTTAACTGTGTTTTCTGAGGAAAAAATAAAAAAACCTCCAACACAACTGAGTTTTTGTGCAACTTCACTGATTGCAAGGTACAAAACTCTACAGAGTCCATATGTAGTTTTTTTCTGCAAGATTGAGTTCCACATTACAAAACTACTGGTTTATGTAAGTCCATAGTACCACAGGCACTTGTAATTACAAGCATAACTGCACTTTTCTTTAACTGCAAATGCATGAAAAAATATTAGATTACTTATAACTATGTTATTTAAAAACACATATGCTATTCCTTAGAGAACTGATTGCATGTGAAATTTGAAATCTCAGCTGTTTGAGCTATCCATGTTTAAGTTTACCTTTCAGTTGTGTAACTCAAACTGGTTGGCTGGATTTAACTATAAATATTTCAACCAAGGCAGAGAATAGGTATTTTTATTTTTTAACTGATAGCTTTGGATGGAAAGATGAAATCTAGATGGAAACATTAAATAAGCTTCCAATTTATACTGTCCATCCAATCTAAACTTTGTCTCCTTTGTTCTGCAATGGAAATATGCTGTTTGATATATACTGTTTATTAACTGTGTAATAAAGATGTCCAAAGAAACAAACACATAAAATCTAGTCCCAGGGTACAATTAAGCTATGTCAGTTCTATATACAATCATAATGTACTGTGTTGGTAGAGAAGAATTTTATGAAAGATTGATCTGTTTGGCATTATCAAATATGTTGATTATAAAAGTAGGGCTTCTGATTTATGGTTTTAACCAATAAATACTGATAAACCACTCCCAATACTACAAAAAAAATCAGTGTTTATCCAATTAAAACCAGAAATACACTGGAAATGGTTACTTATATCTACAGGTTTGTCTACATGTGGACTATAGGGGTGTGATTTTTAACAAGCACTAAAGTGTTGCAAGTATTACAGCAGGGATAGTCAATTATTTTTTATCAAGGTCCAAATTTCTTGGTCAAGGTCCAGACCTCCACCTAGCTCCTCTCCCCTAACCCTCTGATTGCTCCCGCCCCACAAGCTCCTTGATTGCTTGCCAGCTCCCTGCCTGCTATGCCAGGAGAGTAAGGTGACCTTATTTCCCTAAACTGAAAACAGGAAGCAAGGGGCTGGCCTGAGCCACCTGGCATTGCCACTCCCACTCCCAAGTTCCTCTGTGCCCCGAATTGAGCCAAGTAGCAGAGATGGGTAAGAGGAATGGTTATGGACTGGGATCTGGGCAGCAAAGCAGTGTGTGACTGTGCGTGAGTACTTTTGAGCTTGGAGCCAGGAGGTGAAGCTGTTGGACTATGATCTCGCTAGTGGTGCAATGCCTTTTTGGGGGCTGGGATAGCAGAGGGGCAGGAAGGAGGCTCCGGATAGTGGGAGTAGGGTGACCAGATGTCCCAATTTTATAGGGACAGTCCTTATATTCGGGGCTTTTACTTATATAGGTACTTATTACCCCCCACCCACTGTCCTGATTTTTCACACTTTCTATCTGGTCACCCTAAGTGGGAGGACCCAAGGAGACTCCAGATAGCAGCCCTGGTGAGATGGGGGGAAGCCGGGATGTGGTGGAAGCAGGTGACTGGAGGCGGACTGGGGAGGGAAAGAGACCGGTTGGGTGCGGGACTCGGAGCAGGGGAGGAGCTGGAGAGAGCTCCGGGGACTGGGGAGGACATAAGGCCATGGTGGAGGCTCCAGAGACCACTCAGGGTCAGGGGGCAAAAGGCCAGGGTGGGGACTCCAGGAACTGTTTGGGAGCAGGGGGCACGAGATGGGGGCTTCCGGGGACTATTTGGAGCACAAGTATGGCTCCGCTTGGCTCTAGCTCAGCTTCAGGTTGCACACAGAGGCAACATGTAGCTGTGGCTAGTGGAGGGGGGCACAAATGAAAGGTTCTGGGGGTCACATACCCCCCCCACTTCTCAAGACACCCAAAAGCAAGGAAGCTTCCCTGGCAGCAGGACTCTCCATGTGTGTCCGTGCAGTGCAGGGGGGGAGCATGGCGGCTGGCTAAGCTCCTCCCCCCTAGGTCCACCATGGGGCTGCATTGCCTGTCACCTGCAGATGGTCTGCAAAGCAGGCAGCAGTGCTGAAACTCCAGCAGCAGGCAAGGCGAAACAGCCCCATGTGGGCGGGAAGGGAGGAGCTCAGCCAGCTCCCCTGCTCCCTACCTGCACTGCACCAACACAGGGAGAGTGCAGCTGCCAGGGGGAGTGCTGTCTCCTCGCTTCTGGGCATACCCTCCAGGGGCAGCCGGAACAATCTGGGGGGGTACGTGACCCCGCCAGCCCCACCATGCGTTGCCTCTGCCCCCGTGGTCCACTGTAAAGCATCTGGCTGCCTGGATTTGGACTGCAGTCCGCCTATTGCCTATCCCTGCATTACAGTATGTCCTACTGTAATTAATAATGTATAATATATGTAACATTACAGATATACAAAGCCCCCAAACCCTCCAATTTTTGGACATATATAAAACTCAAAGATCACTAAAAAAAACCCTGCAAATAATTAATAAACCCCTAAAAACAAGAGCCCTAATTATAAGGTGCTGAAGATTTATGTAAATTGTACAGCAGTTCCCATATGTACTTTTTACAGCAAGTAATGCAGAGTTATAGTATATTGGAATGGATCCTTGAATGGGTCATGGGATTTTAAACTTTCCTAGTATCAAAGGGGTAGCCATGTTAGTCAGGATCTGTAAAAGCAGCAGAGTCCTGTGGCACCTTATAGACTAACAAACGTATAGGAGCATGAGCTTTCGTGGGTGAATACCCACTTCTTTGAATGCATGTAGTGGAAATTTCCAGAAGCAGGTATAAATATGCAAACAAGAGTGAGTCAGGCTAGAGATAACGA